TGAAGCTCGCGATTATGGTAAGTGGCGTTACATTTCCGACGAGTGCTTGTGGTGTTCGGCCAATCAGAATGCACTGGGTCAGCTGGCCAATCAGAGCGGACTGCGCTTGTCAAAGGAGGGGGCTTTGTAGAAAACGAAGCGTTTGAGAGAGGCGGGGCATAGAGGACCTACAATAATGTACAGTATTTGAAAAATAATGTGTTTTTTGAACATTAAAGCATGTCAACATATTCCGTTACACCAAATACACAAAATAATGATCTTTAAAATAGCATCATATGACCCCTTTAAAAGAAATTATTCTTAAGCACCAAATCTGCATTAGAATGATTTTTGAAGGATCATGTGACACTGAAGACTGGAGCCATCACATGAATAAAATACATTTTAAAATATAGTAAAACAGAGAACAGTTATTTACTGTTTTTACTGTATTTCTGATTAAATAAAAGCAGCGTTCCTTCAAAAACATTACACAGACCTATGATACATACATATACAGAGATAAAGAATACATACATTTTTTTTCCAATAAAAATGTGCTCACTTGCTAATACAGCAAGGAGAAGTTGAGAAGAAAACATCAAAATAAATAACTAACTAGATATATTAAGAAAAATGTCTATTTATTTTTTACACACATTACTTTGACACACTCATCTGTGGTTGATAACAGAATACTTCCTAATTGAAACAAGCATTTTCTATATTGCTAAACAACATGTATTGTGAAAAGCGCTTTATCAACAAACTTGAACGCAAATACCACACGTTTTGTAGAATGACCCATATAAGATGCTTATTTTCTATGATTATTTGCATTGTTGGCTTTATCTTTAGTGCATGTTTCTGCTTGGCGGACATGTCTGTACCCTTTAATCCCCTGTTAACACATGCTCTTGTGCAGACAGGACTGAGATTAACACAGGAAGAGAGCTTCATGGGATCACAGCGCTTCCCTTCCCCCTCACATACATGACTAAAATCCTGCGTATGATTTTTTCCAAACCTAATAGGCTGTCTACATTTTAAGACATCACAGGCTCACCCTGAATGTGCAGCAAAAATAATTATAAAAATAACACCGTAATGCACTGTCAAAACACTAAAGATGGCGGATAAAGTAAAAAGACTGGAGACATAAATATAATTCATTCAACAATAAAATTTATAGATAAAAAGTTTAAAATTATTAAATGAAAAAAGCTTCTTAGACTCCTATTCTGAGCACTATTTGTATGAAGCGCAGAGTTTCTGCCTATTTACTGTGTTTTGTCACTTATGGGGTTTTATTTTAGTAAAGATGCTGCCTTAGAAGGTAGCTGCCTATGTAGGAAGCAATGCAACTCACTAGGTCAACTCACTAAGTTATGCATTTGCACACAATTACAGATCATATCTAGGAGCACACCAGTCTTAACTTCCCATTTCTTCTAAAATCCTGTTACTTGTTTCAAAAGGATGTCAGCATTCAAACCCTGTATGGAGCACAGAGTGTTGCCAACCATTTCAGCACCAGCATTCATTTCAGCACCACCCAATGGACAGCTCCCTCTGAGTTTTCAGCACCCCATGCCGTATATATACCAGTTCTGCCTGTAATGAAGGACCACCTGCTGAATCATCACACCCGGCTATACAACGGCTTTGATTCTGAAAATGTACGGTTTCTAAATAAAAGAGGGAATTTAAATATAAATGCCCTGCAGTGAGAAACAAGTTTGCGTTTATGTCGTTCAAACTTTGGAGTAAGGAATGGTTAAGCATACTCTGTGAGAGGCCATTAAAGCAAATTCATTTGATGGGAAACCGTTGTGACTGAACTTGCGCTAAAGCAGCATACAGGGAAAGCTTTGGAGATCAAAGCCCAGGCCTGTCATGCTCTTCTAAGCTGAGGAAAACTCGAGAGTAAGTTTGAGCTGAGAAAAACTTCTTTTGTTAGACTAAACATGTCAGGATGCAGAATGTAGAATTATTTGCAATATATAATTGCAAAGTAACAAAAAATTAATTGTGTGTACATTTACATAATTTATACTTTAATGTTTGAATATAGTAAAAACAGTAATATTGTGAAATATTATTACTATTTAAAATAACTATTTTCTGTTTAATTATATTTTTAAAATGTAATTTATTCAGCAGCCATTACTAAATTCTTTAGTGTCACATGATCCTTCAGAAATCATTCTAATATGCTGATTTGCTGCTCAAGAAACATTTATTATTATCAATGTTGAAAACAGTTCTGCTGCTTAATATTTATGTGTAAACCATCATACATATATTTTTTAGGATTCTTTGATGAATATTTATTTGAAATGGAATAGTTTATGTATCAATTTAATGCATCCTTGCTGAATATATGTATTAATTTATAAAAAAAAATAAAAAACAACAACAACTTTTTAATGGCTGTGTATACTGTATGTTCTGGCCACCATTTTGGATTACTGCATTCATATTCTGTTTTCCTCTCTTGTTTTTTAAAGGAGCCTAATATTCTAAATCCTAAATCCAGGATAAGGAAGGAGAGGCTCGGATCTAAAAAAATAAAAATAAAAATAGGCCAACATCTGGCACAGCTAAGGCAAATCCACCCATGTCAAAAACGCCCATCTTGATTATTTCATTTGGGTAGAAGCTTCATGTTGATTTTTGGATGGGCAAACCTCAACAGTATGAGCATGTGTTATTTTGTCTTGATATATTAGCCAGTTGCCAGATTATTGCTATATGAGCAACATGTGTTATCATTTTAGATATAAGCATATATGAATGCAATCTGGATGCCTGCAGATGTTACAAAAAGAACAAGACTGTAATTACTGTATGAATTCTGTACAGAATTCTGATTTCTGCTCTCCAATTAAAGCATTTCTATAAGATAGATAGATAGATAGATAGATCTGTTTCAGTTTCACCACAACAAATACGATTGCAATTTTTTCAAATTGAGGGTGGATCACATACCTATGCACACCTCTTCATAGGTGGGGTTTGGGGTGTAACCGCCAGAGTAGCCCACTTGAGTGGAATAGACCCCCTTTTGCACCCAGAACTTCCTCTCAGCTCCCCAGAAACAACCCATGCCTGTGTTAAAAAGAGAAAAGAAAAATATATTCCTTTTATATAGCCACAGACCATAACTGATCCATAAATGAGACAAAAAAAACACATCATATTTCTAGTATTGGCAGAAATGACAAGGACAGCCTTGATTCTGTGAATATTTATAGTACATGTACACATTTTATGGAAATTGAAATTTATACTTTGCATGTTTACATTGCATGGAAAATCAAACCCATGACTTTGGAGTTGCTAGCACTATGCTCTACTGCTAGAACTGTTTGAACACAAAAACACAAAACAGCATCAATTGCTGTTAATCAGACAGCAACTGAATAAGATGTCTCTTTTGAGATATGTTAAAGGAAAATGAATTTTTTTGTCACTATTTAGTTATCCACATATATGCTGTTTGTTTGTTTTTTCCAAGAATTGTTTTGCAGTTTTTGCCATAGCACAGTAGTTCAATGTGACCATGGGGCTGTCAAATCTATTGTATGGCTTTAGAAGCCTTGGAATTTAGTGCATGAATCATAGTTTGCTTTTTGATATTTTTATGCTTTGGAACTTCACAGAAAAAATAGAAATATTGTAAACATGGAAAAAATAACAGGCAAATAACAGCATACAGGATTGAAAGGACATGAGGGTGACTAAATATTCATTGAATTTTCATTTTGGAGTGAACTATCCCCTTAAAATTACGGTAACTAAGATTCTGCAGTGTACATTACTATTTAAAAGTTTGGGTTAGTAAGGTGTTTTTTTTAAAATAAATTACTACATTTAATGCATCAAGGATGCATTTAATTTAAACACCAAATCAGCATATTAGAATGATTTCTGAAGGATCATGTGACACTGAAGACTGGAATAATGACTGCTGAAAATTCAGCTTTGCCATCACAGAAAAAAAATTACATTTTATAACATTAAAATAGAAAACGTAAAATATATAGAATAATAATAATATTTCAGAATATTACTGTTTTTAACTGTATTTTTGTTCAAGTAAATTAAGCCTTGGTGAGCATAAGAGACTTATTTCAAAACACAAAAAAATATCTTACCAACCCCAAACTTTTGAATGCTAGTGTTTAAATGTTTATCTGACTTTTCCTCACCAAATTCTCTTTGCAGTGTTTTTTGTGCTCTGCTGGGACCGAGTCTCCTCTAGCACCTTCCCACTGGTATTAAATCAACCCCTAAAATTCAAAGCTCTGTATTTTAGCTATGAATTTACAATCCCGTAAAACTAAAGACTCCTCCATCACGCATTTACTCAGGGCCAATAAAAACATATCAACCACCATAAAACTAACACCCGCCATAAGCATTTATTACCAAATAATACTTTCCCCTCTATAACAGTAAAAATAAATTAGAGGGTAACTAGTATATCGTTATCTACCACAACATCCCATGGGCAGAAAGTAATTCAATTGTTAAAAAAAAAAAAATACGTACACGACTGTCGGCTTGACCAGATTTTTCAGATTTACAAGCTGCTGTGGAAAAGTGAGCATAAGGCGCATGACGGAGAATCTAGAATCTGGAGCTCAATTACAGAGGCCCATTGGGACGCCCAAAACGCCAAGACTATAAAATGACGCTTTCACACAGGGGATGTCAATGTTCAGTAAATGAGGGTGAGTGCTGTGCATGCCGTCTAGCAGTCAGAAAGCCACATTTTCCTGGAGTCAAAGGTAAGAGTTACCTTTCATCGCTCTCAGCAGGGGGAGGGGGGTTGTGAATTGCAAAGGCGCATACATACTTTTAATATTATTTTATTTGTATACAAGGCCCTGTGATAAAACCATTTAATTCCTGTCTGCCATGATGAATTACACAGTTTGAGGCCTAAATAAAGAAAAAAAGGGAAGCTGAACAAATGAATTTATTAAAGAGATCCTAATAAGCAGTCCACAATTAATCGCACACCCCTCCCCTTTATTTTCCTCGTCCTTTTGCAGTTTTGGTTTTGCACTTCTTGAAGGGGTGCATGAGGGGGGAGTAATTACCTTCCACCACCGGTCTCCTTAGCTGGATCTACCCCCACGCCGCGATTACACACACACGCACACACACATATCTCTCTCAGCTCGGCTCACTTACCGAATAAGACCATCTGCAATCCCTCTGGGAACGGTGGCACTGTCCTGTTACCATTCACGTCGTGTTTAGCTGCAGGACACAGGGGAAACAATGGAGAGAGTGCCCTTATAAATCAACACAATGTCAAAAGGATTTCATAATGTGCTTTTCCCAACGCAGCTCACAGTGGGGAAGAAACTCCCAGGAGGATAGTGGCTCTATTCCTACGCAGCTCATTAAGTTCAACCCTTACGTTTTGGGTTGATTCCTTTATCTTTCACTTTAGGAGCACCAGGAAGACAGGAAAAAGACAGGGAAGGTCAGAATGGACAGAAAGTCATTTTATCAAGGAAGGTCAAATGATGGTCATTCATTCCTATGCATTGTGGATTTTTTAGGAGGGGAGGGGAACAACACCTGGCCGGATTAATGTATGTCAATGCGACATTTTAACATGTGACAGGGATACAGATGGGCCGAGGCATGGAAAACCATTGCGTGGATTAGAATAAATGGAGGTCACTGAGTTGAACATCTGGGCGCAGCCATGCCGGAGCTTCAACATGCACGTACTGTATGAGTATGTTGCCATGGCAGCAGGGCATGCCAATACAGCCAGACGGATGGCAGACCTACATAAACAAATAAGAATGAAAGAATGTTCAGTCTAATGCTGACTCTATTTTCTTTCATTTTATATCCTCCTTTTAGTTTATCATATCTATAAAATGTGTTTGCATCCAAAGTCAGTGGTGTGTTTCACAAAGGGCTTCCTGAAACGTGGCTGTGATTTAAAAAAAATAAAAAATAATAATAATAATCCTAGGTGAAACAGAGTGAAAACCTTCTTTTGGCACAGTAAACCTTTTCATTTTAGAATTAAAATGGCTCTCGAACAATACAGTGAAAGAGAGGCTTTCTGTGGAGGCCACAGCTCTAATCTAATCTGTGTAAGTGGACTGAAGAGAAGCATTAGAACAGACTTCATTAAATCACTTTCACATTCAGACTGTCAGTGCTGATCTGTTTCAACCGCTCAACACTCTCTTACACCGTACAGTATACATTGAGCAAAAATTCCATCTAGTCTCTTAATTCAATATCAATCAGTATAAAAAGATAAACTTTTGGGTAGTAATAATTCTAAAAGACTTCGAATTATGTTTTTTAAAAAGTTATTATAAAAAGGGGGGGGATTCTGGCTCTTCTTTTCAATATAATGACAGTGAGTGAGGACAGTGAATCTGTGACCATAAAAGAATCATAAAGGTGGACTTATCTATATAATAGATCAATGGGTCCTTATGACTCACACAATATATGTATCAACTGACAAAACAGTGTTGTGAACCAGATCAACTAATTCATTGAAAAGTAGAATGGACCACTTGTTTAGCGCTTTTTTGGTCATTTTTGAGCTTGAAAACCTAGGATATTATTAAAAATTATTTTAAAATCTTTTGTTACTAATTGATACCAAATCAACAACCCAGACTGTAAAAATAGCATGCAGATGACCTCACTACTCTACATTCTTTTTAAATGATTATTTAGCTATTTCAAATTAAAGCAATTATATGTAAGTTTTTACTTTGAAATATCAGTTTCAACATCATTCCGTTGACACTGTATACTGACTTTTAATAAGGCGAATGGTTTCTGTTTCTTTCTCACACTTCCCTCAAAACGTCTGTTGTTGTACGTTTGGTGAGCAGGTAGGAAATTCCACAACAACGGTGGAGTGCTTTACGACAGCAACAAATGCACATGTACAGCTTATCCACTTACTTACTTATCAACTGAAAAATACACAAAACTGCATACAGCTGCTTCATTGTAAACTTTTTCTAGCCCAATCAAATAATCTGTGAAAAAGCAATGAAACGAGAACCAGTTTATTTGTCACACTTGAAATGGACAAGTGGCACACATTGCATTATGGGATACAGAATTCCAGTACAGTATGTTTGCATACTGCACATTGTAGTAAATGAGGTCATCCAGGTGTTTTATATGCATATAGAAAATCTGCAAACTATGCACAGCGTCTTTTAAAAACAGTTAAAAGCAAGCCATTCAGATCAGCCACCATACGTTTCTCAGGCCCGGTCTGCAATGCATATGCATAGAGTGGAATAGTGTTATTGATCTGCAGTGCATCATTCTGGAAAAAAAGTAGCTTGCTTTACAATAAGGACTGGCAAGAGTTGAGGGTTGGGTCGGTGGCTGCACTTTTGCCTTTGAATGTGAGAGGAGTGACCAAGCCACTGCCCACGCTGAGCTACAGAGCTTTCTATTACCCTCTCACCACGCTCCTGCTCTCTAATGGCCAGCACTCACCTTAGCTGTATTTCAGTGCTATAGTGTATGGTTACACCTCAACCCATTCCATCATGTTGCATCCAAAGCACTCAGCTCTCTCTGTGTGACCTCAGAGCACAGACCCAGATTGACAGGCGTTTGGAAGCAGATCTTGTGAAAAAAATTAAATCACGAATATGAACTTACATGACCTTTGCAAATACTTGATAAGGATTTTTTTTAATAATTCAAATTCAGAATGATTCACTAATGAATCATTCAGTCCTACATGGTTCAAATCATTCATTGAAAAGAGTGAAAAAAATGACATGCAAACAAGAACATTTATGTGATTAAATATTTTAAGGATAAATATACATATAATATAACAGAGAAGAATTATATACTATATAATTATATACTATACTATACTATACTATATATACTACATAATAATGAGAATAATTTATAAAGAATTTAAAGTCCCCATGAAATCAAAATGTTTTCCATTGAGGAAAAAAAGAAGTCTGGTTTCGCGCTGTCACGCTAACCACGCTAACCACCACACACACACTCTGCTCCGGTCCAGAGACACGATAGCACGGAGCGGATCACATGCACGAATCGGCATGGACCACAAAATGTATCGGAGCTATTTGAATTCTACACAGAATGCTATATTTTATAGCAATATGGATGAGATTGTGGATGGCATACCCTGTCAAATGCGGCTTTA